ATAAACTGAATACTTAATATTGTTGAAGTAATTCTGCAGTTTTCATGGAACTGTAAATTCTATGAAGATTGGGAATGTGTTTTATTCTTCTTTGAATTCTCTGAGCACCTGGCATGGGGACTTGCACATAGTAGACCATTAATACATTTTTTTTGAATAAATGAACTAACTTGCTTTGTTTCATATACATTTTGTTGCTAGAACAATGGCTGAAGACTGGCTGGAAATACAAGGAAAATGAACCATAATTGGAAATTATAATAAAGCCTGTCACCCGCATCTGAGAGACCTATTATAAATGCTTCTGATGCCTCGTTAAGGACATTCTATTGTTTTCAGAATGCCTTTCCCCCCTAGTAAATAATCTCCTCTTTCTGTAATGTAATCATTGACACTGCTATCAAAATGATCAGTTCCAAACACAGATCTGATCCTGTCATTTCTCTGCTTAAAAACCTGCAATGCCCGCCCTCCCCCCCCCACAGTCTGTACAACAGAGTCCAAATTCCTAACTAAGGCACGGAAGGTCCTAGATGTTCTGGCCTCAGTCCACTTTTTCCTAGCCAATGCATCCCACATGCTATCCATCCAGGGGTACTTGCAATTTCTGAAACATGCTATACATACTTGTGCTTCTATGTCTTTGCTCATGTTGTTTCCTCTATTTAAAATGTGACTCCTCATCCCATGTCTTGCTCTTCTGCTATCTGCAGGCATCACCATACTAGTCTTTTTCTAGGGACTCAACTCAAATGCTTTCTCTGTAAGACTTTGCTGTCTCCCATGCTTAAATAATTTACCATTTGTTGTTCTCTTGTAGTGCTTTGCTCATGCTCCATGTATGGTATGATAGCTAATTGTTTATATACCTAACCCTCTCTCCTAGATTGTGAACTTCTTGGTTTGTACATTTCATTTTCCCATATTCTTTCGGCTATGTCTCATGTTTTCTAGAAAGCTGACACAGAGTATGTGCCTAACACATAGTAAATGCTCAATAAATGTAGTTTGGAATAAAAAAACACAGGCACTTATATTTCCACATAAAAATACACATTAAAAAATTCTTCTAAGTACAATGGGGCTAAACTGAAAATCCTAAGAGTTGGTAGAAGATGGAAAAACTGTCTGTTAAACCATAGGTGAATTCTGTCCTGATTAAAAAAAAAAAGACTTGAACATTTCTTCAGAGGTAGACTGCTCTGGAAAAACTACATGAATTGTTCAACCTCTCCTATTAAAGCAGGTATACGTTTATTATTCTTGGAAAACTATAACTTGAGTATAGATGCTTTTAGTCTGTGAAGCTGGGTGCTCCATTTGGATATGCAAATCTGTGTGTGTGGAGCTGGAGCTTTGCTTCCGCAGACATTGCTGCATGAGAGAAGAGAAAAACTGTTTCTTTTCTCTCTGTAGATGTAGACTGCATATGTGTCAATATATTGTTTCTGTGACGATGTGAATGTCTTCCTTTGAGCCCTTGCTCTGAGGAGTGCGAAAGCTGAGATCTAAAAGATATAGGCAAATAAGGACAGGCATGATCATTACTACTTACTGGAGAAATAATTATGCAAAGGGACTGGACTGGTTTTGGCGAAGCTCTACTTGGACCTACCTGTAAAGACTGAATGACTCAGTCTTTGTGAGAAATGTGCTGATGTTGGACAGTTAATGCTCTTAAGGCAATGGCCCAGTTGGGTCAAAGGTCAAGGTCATACCCCTGGCGATGGGAGGTGGGGTCTCCTCTAAAGGAGTAGATATTCCCAAGTCAGTCATCCTAGTGAGAGGCAGCAAGTCGGACAGAAAATGGGACTTTGAAAATGGACTTTAAATTGGATAAGGAGAGTTGTTTTCTTCTCTGAGCTTCTTCTCTCTGTGGTTGAGCCCGAATGCCCAAGACATGGTCGGAGGAACTCTTGATGGAGAGGGAAGCTGTCATCAGCCACATGGACCCTGGGTGCAAGCTCAACAATAAAGCCCATGAGGGCTTTGAGAGTAGCCATGTCATAACTGCAGGTTACTCTGGATTATTCTTCCTTTCTAACATTGTTACATAACACTGGTCTTAGTTGTGCTGTAAGGAGACTTTGATGGGAAGAACCTGCATTTGTGATGTCCTGGAGAAGAGAGGGCAATGCTTTTTTCTGCCAGGTCCCAAGATACTGGTGAAAGGTGCATTGGCTGGAGAGAGATCAGTGTCCCAGAATATCAGGGTATGGGACATCTGAAGTAGAGGCAGGAGTAATTCAGTTATTTCAGGCATATGTTGGTGATACCATCTGCCCTAGGGACTCCTCAACAGGAAAGAAGGGAGAGAAACTTTATTTTTTTTAAGATTTTATTTATTTGACAGAGAGAGAGAGATCACAAGTAGGGGGGGCAGAGGGAGAGGGAGAAGCAGGCTCCTGGCTGAGCAGGGAGCCCGATGTGGGACTCCATCCCAGGACCCTGGGATCACGACCCAAGCCGAAGACAGACATTTAACCGACTGAGCCACCCAGGTGCCCCAGGGAGAGGAACTTTAAAGGGGGCTTATATCCTAATAATTTGGAAGGTGGGAGCTCAGTCATTGTAGTTTGGAGTTTTAAATAGGGCCTCCTTTACACTAAAAAATTCATGAAAGCTATGATGCTCTGATTAACAAGGGCACATGAGGCCTTTTATTGAACAAAGCCTTATTATACTGGACATCCTGCTCAAAAGACTTGAGAAAAACAAAGAAAAACAAAATATTCCTCAGTTTGATTTTATATGAGTCTTCTCTGTTTAGTTTCCCTTAGGCTTCTGCTCTTGATCCCCGTATAGGTGTACATTTAACCAGAAACTGATAGGTGCTTTTCTTCCATTATGTATCCATCCTCTGTTTTCCTCACAAAGTGTTCTGATTAAGTGAGTAAGGGAGAGTTTGAAGCTCTTTCTGGATATTACATATATGCATGGGTGAATATCTAACTGGTCTTTCAATGAGGTGAGCATCTAGGTTGATATGATTTTCTTAGGTTGAACAGGAATGTTACTTAACACGTTGGCATAACAGCCACAATCTCATCCCTGTTGATTGCATCTCTGGTCATACTCTGAAAAAAGACTGCATTCAGTTCCTTAGAGCTTTTCTGGATTCATGGTGTTTGCCTTTTTATTCTAACAGCTGCTTATTTGCATAACCTGTTAAAGACATTTCCCTACCGTCAAACTACTGGGCTTCCTCTAGCTTCTTGGACATTTTTTCTTGCTCTTGTAGATTCTGTAAACAAATAGCAACTTTTGCCTTCAACATAAGTTCTGCTTGCCTGAAATCTTTCATTATCTTCTCCCAACTACACAACAAAGCTGAATTTTGTAGAATATCACTTTGGCATATTAATAATTTCATGTGTCCAAGGCCTTCCTGAAATTCTTAGTTTCTTCATAGATCTTTCCCTGGGACTTAGACACTATAAAATAGCTAATTTACTTCATGCAACAAACACTTATTGAATACCTACTATGTTGCACACCCAGGCTGCCTATTGGGGCTACATAGTAGAGGAATTCACATTTGGTTTGAAGCCTAGACTATCTGACTCACTGTTCTAGTTTCTTAACTCCTCCAGGATTACCTTGAAAAGTCAAACCTCCTCTTATGACTGCTGAATGCCACAAAGGAGATTGCAACTAAGAAGGAGAGCAATCCAGGTTACTGAGGTGATTACTGAAGAGGGGGAGGGTCCCACGCAAAAAATTGGGGAGAAATACTGGAATCCAAGGACACTAGGGAAGAAGCATACTTTATCTTTTTAAGGTTTTAAGCCCAACGGAGGACTCAAGCTCACGACCCCCTCACCCCCATCAAGGGTCACATGTTCTAGGGACTGAGATAGCCCAGAACCACCCCCCTCCAGGGGACCTACTTTAAAGGTCAGATGTTTTCTAAGTTAATGTAGGGTTTCGTTTTTGTTATGTGTTTGTTATCCTATAAACAAGACCAGTATAAATGAAAATGCGAAATTATGCATATTTCATTATTTTTCAGTTAATATATTTATTGCAGCATTAATGTGTTGATATGATTCTTTTATATAACATTTCCTTCCATCAAAAAATTTTGAGGAAGAATATTATGTTTCTTGGTGAAGTTTTCGTAAAGAACATGAGGTCTTTAGAATGTGGGGTCACAAAGGGCAGGAGACAATTTTTTTTTCTTTGCGATATATACCTCCTGACATACTCCGGTGTTTTGTTGAGGAGGTCTGAAGATACGGTAATTCTAGTTCTGAAGGAGCAAGGAAAGGACCCATCACTGCCTCTGCACCCTACCAGCTGAAGGAGCACACCTCAGTCTCCTCCTTTTGTCTTCTGAAAATAAAATAAAAGGGAGGCATAGGATGTTAGAGTGGAGGGTTTCCTAGGGGTTAAACCCGGGTGCTTAAAAAACCCTTGCGAACCCTACAGCTTTTACTTAAGTAGCTCCTGTAAAACAGATGTTCTCCGAAATAAGAGAGCTGGAGCAGACACGCCCGTCTGGCCGACTTGGGGTACAGCTCAGGTGGGGGCAGCCGCCTGGTCCGGAGCTGAAGGTGCCTACGTTCTGCAGGTGCGGTGATTTTTATCTCGCACCGCCCCGGCTCCCGAGAGGGCGGGACTCGCGGCGTTGCAGAGCGTGGGACTTGACCCCTGAAGCCCGAGTCTAAACGTATTCCACGCAGCAGACATTTATCTGGCCGGGTGCCCACACCTGGCCCGGGGGAGGGGAAACAGCTTCTAGAGGAACCGCAGAGAGGAGAGGAGCCCCTCGTTTGGGACGCCAGAGGGCTGGTCCCGCTAGGCTCTGTCCGACTGCTTTCCCGTGATTGCTTTCGTCACCTGTCCATCATCCCAGTGCCCTATTTCTATTGGCTCAACAGTGTGCCACTCGGTTCCGCCGCGCTGACCCCCATTGGCCCTTCTCCGGCCGAGGCCCCGCCCCACGAGCTGGGCATGGGGAGTAGGGCGCGGAAGAGAGAGCGGAGCGCTTGCTCTGGGCTGGGGGGAGGCGGTGGCGGAGAAGGAGGAGGAGAAGAAGGAGGAGCTGGGCCAGCAGGAGGCAGCGGCCGCGACCGGGCTGGGGTGATGGTGCAGGTGCCCGGGGCCCGCGCGGAGCTGCCCGGCTGAGGGGCGCCTGGTCCGGGGTCCGCAGCGCCGCCGCGTCTTTCCCGGCGGCGGGCGGGCGGGAAGATGCTGAGCAGGTTGATGAGCGGCAGCAGCAGGAGCCTGGAGCGCGAGTACAGCTGCACCGTGCGGCTGCTGGACGACAGCGAGTACACCTGCACCATCCAGGTCAGTGCTGCGCTGCCCTGCCCGCGGGACCCCGAGTCTGGCTAACTTGGCCCGCGGCCGCCTCCCGAGGTCGCCGCAGACCCCAGTGCTTTGTCCGTCCCTGGCTGCGGCGGCCAGCCCCGGTGCAGAGCGCCTCCGCCCGAGACCCGGTCCGGGGCGGGGTACCGGGCGCTCGGCGCAGCTGCGGTGAGAGTCCCTCCGTCCCGGACCCTCAGCTCGCTCCCTGCCCTCTCCCAGGGTGAGGGCGCCCCATCCTGGCTCCTCGAGCCTGCCGGGGTGGGGAGCATCTTCCGCGGGCGTCGGGAGGGAGGCGGGCAGGGCGGGAGGCTCCTACCCGGGCCGCCCCGTCGGGGGGCTCAGGCTTTGGCTCTCTGGCCAGGCAAGGACCGCTGGCCGGCGTTTCTTATCTATCTTTGGTTGGAAGGATAATGCTGTATGTCATAATCACCCGCCCCCCCTCCCCACCCCGGCATTTGTGAATCAGAGCTCTCAGAAGGTAAAAGTGAACGCGCAGCCCATGCAGAGTGGCCTATGGAAGGGAGACCAGCCCTCTGGGTTCCTGAGATTAGGCCCCCCTCCCGCCTTTCGCTCCCCAGATCTCATTGTGTTGGGCAATTTTGAGGGGGGCGTGAGGTAAAGATTTAGCAACAAGTACCAGAGATTTGAGGGTTGACTGTGGCGAGAAAGAATAGGTGACTTACAAAAAACGCCAACAATATGTTAATGCTTCGCAGCATTTCTTCAGAACCTGGTATTTTGGAAGGGATTTTTACAACCTCTTGCTTATGTTTTTTTCACTACTGCCGTGTGGCACGTCTGGAGTAGTAGTCTTTCCCAGGAATGCAGTCACAGTCCTCTCTCCTCCTCTGTAAAGTCAGAGATAGGAACATTGACAATGCTCCGGTGTTCAGTTCAGCAGCCGAAGGATCCTGCGCTCGCTGCCGGAAACTGCTCTTTCTGGAGAAGCAAATAGAGTTGGACCCGGAGGGGTCTCACCTGATCCCTTGCCTTTGCAGCAAGAAACCAGAGAGGGCTTCTCGCCTCAGATGTGGCAGACAAAAACTGTCGGCCTCTGGTCCTACCCTCTTTGTCTCCCGTCCCGCCCCCCCCCCCCCATTTATTTTTTTGCTGACAATGCTCAATAGCGGAAAACAGCGGTGTGTGAGAAAGACGCTGGGTAGTGGATGAGAGCGGCTGCCCTCTGCTGACTCCGTGCTCATTTCAGCCTTCTCTCCACTTTACCTTTTTTTTTTTCGTTTTACAAGCAGATGCTATTTTTTTTTTTTAAATTAACAGTGATTTTAAAACAAGTTGAAAATGAGACTTATCATTCTCCAGTTTGGTGATGGTAGTGGTTTTGTTTTCCTCTCCCTCCACCTCTTCATTTTTTTCCTTCATCATTATCAACATTTAAAGGTCCTCAGACTCTAGAGACATCAAAATCATCTTGATGACATGTCTCCACTTTCCCTTTTCTCCCACTCCCCAAACCAGCTCTGGGTATAAGTGCTGACTGCTGCCAAAGATCCAGGAGGGCAGAGAAAGGGAACAAAATCTCTTTTTTAAGGCCACTTAAATACAGATTAAACAGTCATAACGACGCTAGCCATCAAATGAAAGGATTTTTGTAGTTGAATATGATAGATGTTCTGTTATTATTTCCTTACTGAATGAGTGGCATGCTACTTTTTGTTTCTATTGTATCTTTATTTGTCGTGTACAGTTCTTTTTTTGTTTTTCAGTGGGGGAGGAGAAGGCATTGACTTGACATATTCACTATTTGAATACATTGTCTAGAGCTTTTAAAGTTTTTATCCTTTCGTTTTAAAATTTAAAGCATTTACACGATAGCATATCAACGGCAGTGTGAGATTTAGACTTTGTGAGTCCTAAAAATACTTTGGGGTATATGGTGAAATAAAATTTCTGGGGCAGGTCATTAACTTTTGCCAAGGTATAGAGTACAAATGAAACGCAATTCACATCACCACTCCACTAGTGGCAGTCTTGTGATTTTAAGGTACCACAATAAGACAACTAGTTATTTTTCCCAGTTGGTGGAACCTCTGAAGTTGGTTGATTGGTATTATAGTTGTGGGTAATTTTTATTGCCATTGAGAAAAATAATATTTTTCGGTCAAGCAGGACTTACTGGGTTTATGCTTGTTATGTCTTGCTATGGTTGTGTTTATTTTCCTGCTGGTCTTATTTTACATTATTACAATTTAATGTGTTATAAAAATTTAGGCCACAGAAAAATAAGCTTGGTGTAACATGACTATACTGTAGTGAGTGTCCACTGTCTAGACATGTTAATGATAGTGCACTGTGATTCTTTAGTGAAAATTAAACACAGGAATTCTGAAGTTTATGTAATATTGTCAGTCTTTGGCACCACTACTGTGAATTGCTTTTGTTTTTACCCAATGTGAGGAAAGGTTAAAAAAAAAAAAAAAAGACAGGATCTTATGTGAAATTAATATTTTGTGCAGATAGCTTTTTTGAGCTTTTAGAGATTGAGCTTTTCTTAGCAACTTTCTCCCCCTTATCCATTTCTGTAGTTTGTGTTTGTGCATGCACTTATTTGTCAAACATTGGACATAGAGTCTTTTAAATCAGTATGGAAAGAAACTGTGAGCTACTTGCTAGATTAAAGCAATATTCCTAATATTTTAGGAATTGCTGTACAGTATATTTTTAAAAATTTTTGGTGATAGTTTGGAATCATTTTCCTTAAAGTACTGTTTGCCATATTTTTCTTTAAATAAGGTATATATTTTAGAAAGATTTCAGTACTTCTTGAGATAATCAGAGAACACTTAGGGGATTAGAGAGTCAGAAATGTATCACTGGGTTAGAGCCATAATAGCCACATTTAGTAAATTTCAGTTGTAGAAAATTCTGTCAAAGTATTGGTCTTGTCTTTCATATTGCACCAGTTATACCGCTCTGGCATTTAGAATGTGATTATTAAGGTAAGGAAAATGCCTTATATCCTCTCAATGAAGGTTGCCACAGTTACCAGACTATTCTTTTATTCTTTCTGATATGCAAATGTATTTGTAGATCATGAGAAATGAAAGTATACATAGGAGGCTTGTAATATAATTGCTCCCCTGTGAAGAACATTGCTAACAGCTCCCTGCCAGTTTTGAAGGTCATTGCCTCATAAATGCAGATCTGGTCCATATTTTTCACACATCTGTTTCATTTATGAATATCTGCGCTTATTTACCACATTTACTACCCTACTTTGTTATTTTATTTGGGAGCAAATAGGAAAAACGAAAAGGCTACCTAATATCTTTGAACTCAGTATATCAAATGGAATCATTTAAATGCTTAGACATGTAATATCCTAAGTAATAGATTTTTAACTATCTTTTGAGTTATAATAGTTTATAAAATATTAAGAATATATATTACGGAAGTGCCAGTAGAAATATGTACCAAAAATACATATTTTCAAGTCAGAAATATTAATCACTTTTTTCTGATTACTGAAAAGTAAAGCTGCCCCAGAAATGAATTTGATTTTACTGGGAACACATTAAAATAACAACTGACCAAGCAGCTAGCTTAAATTTGTTTTTGCAGTTAAATGAGGTACTACCAGAAGTAAAATGCCGGTGTACAGAAACCGTTCTATAGTGCAACCAAAATCGGGACTTGATTGTGTCTCAGCCATTCAGTAACTGTGGGACCTAGGGTAAGGGAGTGAATACTGGGGGAGAGAACAAATGTATTGAGCCCTGTACTTGCCAGGTGCCCCGCTTGTGCTATTTTCTCACTAAACTCACAACAGCATATGGATTCGTTATACACCCATTGTACCAGCTGAAGAAAATAAGATTGTGGATTGGTGGGAGAGCTGATGTTTCTTGAATGGCCAACTCTACTACGCTTTCTGTGAGGTGTTTTGCTTATACCTTACATCAACTATTTGAGAAGTAGGTGGTAGTATCTTCATTTTACAGATGAAAGGCTTGGATGAAGAAACTTGGTCAAAGCTAGTAGGTGGCTGGACTATATTTAAACCCTGGTCATTTTGTCTCTAAATCCCATCTTTGTTCTATTCTTTCTGACTCCCTAAGTTATTTCACCTGTCTGTAACCATAATTTCCTCATCTGTAAAATGGTAATAATACTTATTTCACAGTAAAGAAAAAATTATTTGGTAATGTCATTACAAATAATAACATTTAAACAGACTAATATACATTGTGCCTTGTTCTATCAAATCAAAAATAGGATTGAGAAAATTTTTGAAAATAAACATTAAGTCTCCTCAAAATGATTTTTTTAAAAGATTTTATTTATTTGAGAGAGAGAGTGTCTGTGTGAGTGTGGGGGAGGGGAAAAGGGAGAGGGAGAGAACCTTAAGCAGACTCCCTGCTGAGCACAGAGACAGCTCCGGGCTCCATCCCTTGGCCGTGAGATCATAACCGGAGCAGAAACCAAGAGCGGGCACCTAACTGACTGAGCCACCAGGTGCCCCTACTTAAAAATTTCTGATTGGCTCAGGTCATGATCTCAGGGTCCTAGGATCAAGTCCCCCTTACGCTCCCTGCTCAGTGGGGAGTCTGCTTCTCCCTCTGCCCCTCCCTCCCACTCATGCTCTCTCTGTCAAATAAATAAAATCTTTAAAAAAAAGATTTCTGATTAATCTCAGTGAAATTATAAAATTCAAGGCTGGAACAACTGGATTCTGTAGTAGAACTCTTCTCTAAAATTCAAGAGTTCAGGGGGCACTTGGGTGGCTCAGTGGGTTAAGCATCTGCCTACAGCTCAGGTCATGATCCCAGGGTCCTGGGCTCCAACTCCACATTGGGCTCCCTGCTCAGGGGGGAGCCTGCTTCTCCCTCTCCCTATGTCCTCTCCCCACTCATTCTCTATCTCAGATAAATAAATAAAATCTTTAAAAAAATAAAATTCAAGAGTTAAGGTTTGCTTTCCTTTGATCCTACCAAGTCTTTGGCTTTAGAGGGGCATTTGCTTCA